AACAACAAAATGAAGTGCAAACAACATTAAATTATTCATTGCCACCTACTCGCGACTTCATTAAGGACTTGAAAAAGAGATGTTGCGAAAGTGTTCCGCTAAGCGGTATGACATTTAGAGCAGTGATTATTTACCAATCTAGCCGGTAAATATTGCTTTCGTGTCAAACCAGCCAACAGATTATGGACAAAATTAAGCTGTAAATCTAATTTCTGTGTCCAACAAAGGGTTAACAGACCGTGGTGAGGTCTAATTTAGCCGTCTTTTCACAACGCGATAATTCCACCAACAATGGAACACACAGATGTCCTGATCTGCTAAACAAATACTTAAAATGCAGCAGCAAACACCGAGATTACAGCTCAAGTTACTTGAACGAACGCAAACTCGTAAAATTGCCTAACACTGTTGCGCAAAGCGGCTAAGTTATACAGGTGCCACTTTCCGCTGGAAATCTGCTCCCTTCTTAAACAGGTGCCTTGCGAAAGCGCGTCCAGTGTGCAAAGTATTTCTTTGGCGAAGCATTTGACACGCTGAAACTTTTAACGATGAGAGAAACTGTCTACGAAATTCCACCAAAGGGCCAAGGAATACCTTATAAAGATTGGGCAACAACAGGTAAAGAAGATAAAGCTTTCTTCCCCTAACTTAACTCTAAAAGCTGGTACATTTTTTGGATGCACATGAAATGAAAATGTTTGTCAATTTGTACTTTACTGTCATGGCTCGGCCTTACTGTTGTGGTATTCGTGTTTGCAGTGAAAGAGGCCAGAGCTCGGCAGATTCCAGTCGGTTTACCTCAAAACTTGAAGAACTACTTCGAGAATGCTTTGAAGAAACCTCCGATTTCTAATATGTTTGGGTAAGTTTCTATTCGTTAAAATAAACGTAATTCATTTTATTCATTTGAGTTTTCCAAACAATGGCGACTCGCAGCATAGCAACAACAGGGGCAAATGTGTACTGTAGAACTTCCACAAAATACCTGGAAATGTTTAAAGGAAAAATTTCCACGCCCTGTTGAGAAGGCATTTAAAGGAACTCTCAGGTTTTCGCGGGTATTTGACCATGCTTAGACTAGACTATTTCGTGTTTAGTTCTTTTCTGAATTAACTACTGTATCGCTATTGCCATTTACCCTTCATGGCTGTCAACAATGCGATCTCCGGATTTCAAGTCCAGCGCCCTAGCCACTCGGCCACGCTGCCTCCGCTTAATAACTCGGAACTTTTCACGTCAGACAAGGTTACTTTTTGTTGTAACCCGCACTATCGAGCTTTTCTTCTGAGGGCTGTACTGTCATTATCAACAATTAATTTTTTTTCTCTTATGTGGAATGGAACTGTCAAAGAAAGAAGTATTCCATTCAAGCGATTTTAGGGCCTGATATTATTGAGTTGAATGTAAAAATTTCAAAACAACCCGATTTATTTACTTTACAAGTGCTTGCCAGTTTGATTTCCAGGCTAGAATTTGCACTTATTGAAAAAGTCATCTTTTTCATCCCGAATTAATTTCGTTTCTATTTTTTCCTCACGCAGCGGAGACCTGCCACAGGCACATGCGCAACGCAAGTCACATGACGCGAAGACAAGAAAAACTGTGCTTAGTCATGTGAGCAGGAACAATCCGCATCCCACGATATTCTTCCCTTTTCAAACTGGCGATAGGGTAAGAAAAATAAATATACCTTAAAACACCT